CTCCTGGGAATGGTGGGCGCAGGAGATGGTGGACAACGCCTCCTTGGTGCGTTGATGAAGGTGGATAGATCACAGCCAGACGACCTGATGGCTTCACAGATTATCCGGGCGGCGGCGCTGTGGGCTCTCTGGACCTTGAGGAATGAGTGATGTAGACAGGGATCTGCACCGCCGTTGCGGGTGTATCAAGAAAGGGCGCGGGAGAACATCAGAATTGCCCTCTCAGCAGATTTGCATCGATGCACGCGGAGGGGTGAACAGAAAGAGAGAGGATTCTGGGCAAGATGGGAGCTGTACCCGCAGCTGCTCACGCGTCACCCCCAGCCGGGCCTGATGCAGCTGGGCCCAGCATTGCTGCGTCAAATGCCTGAGGCCGAGCTAGAAGGGGAAGTAGGGGATGAGTAGGAAGAGGGGGACAGATCATCATGAAAGCAGCCGGTCTGTAATATAGCCAAGTTTTTGGGTAGGTAGAACAGAAAGGAGAGCGATTGTGAGAAAGGTTGATGTACAATAGATAGGTAGGTATATACTGTAGAAGATATCATAGCCGAGGGGGGGGGGGGGGGGGAAGGGAAGAACCTGTTTAAGGAGCCGGGGGGGAGGGGAGAGGGGGGGGAGGGGAGAGAGAGGGGGGGGGTATTGAAATCAAAAAAGCATAGGAAGCTGTTGGAGACAGGAACAGGGGATGGGAGGCATGGAGGAAACGAGTTTGTTGACGGTATGACAATAACAGGCTTGGAATAGAATCTAGGCAAAGGGTACAGAGGATGGGATGGGGCCTTTGGGATGATAAAGGTTGTGAAAGGGTTTCATAATAGGATAGGCTGATGGGATGGGGCCTTTTGGGATGATGAAAGTTTTTGTGAAAAGCTTATATAGGAATAGGATAGGCTGTATGTGTGAGGTAAACCTCTGCAGGATTGCAGTAGCCAGATGTTAAGCAAGGCTGGATTGGCATATAAACAGTTGATGATTGGCAAGTGGCCTCAGGGACACAGCCCTGAACACCCCCTCCCCGCGCCAAGCCCCCAGGGGATTACCCTACTGTGTGTCGGGGTGCTGCTAGTCAGCCTTCCGGCCAGTAGGGCAATCCACCGTGGAGGGGCGAAGGGGTTTGGGGGGGGAGGTGCACAGAAGCTGCCCTCCCCTTGCTCAGGCGGCTAGTGCCACAAGGGTTAGGCTGCCCTCTTTCTATTTTCTGTTCTCCCCCATTGTCTTAGTACAAACATGCTTGCCGGGGATGAGAAGGGGCCTGTGTGATTCTTGGAAAAAACAAAAAAGAAAAAAAAAGAGTAGTTCAGGTTCTTCAGAATTTGGTAGCTTGGCTTTAATATGCATGGGGTCCAAGTCTAGTAGGATATTCATGTGAAGTTGTGAATAGATAAGGATTTCTTTCTTTAAAGAAAAAATAATTTTGTCCAATGTATTGGTAGGGAGCGGGACCCGCTGGGAATCGGGTCCAGTGTCCCATTCAACTTTGGTCAGAGAACCGAACAAGAGAAAGCAGCATTGACTCTCCCACTGACCCCTGTGTTCTTTTTCACTCCTTGAATTGGCCCACCCAAAAGTCTTTCTCAGGGTTATCCCACCTTCCCGCACTGTCATCGATGTTTCCCATTTTCTTATATCTTCGCTGCTTATGTTCCGCACTGAGACCAGCATTGGATCAGGAAAGGTGGAGAAGAGGAGAGGGAGGAGGAGGGAGTCCAGGGTATCAATGGTGAAGGAGCAGGCGAGTGTGGTGGATGGGGGGTAGGCAAAGAAGAGGGCTAGGCATATGCTCTTATACTCTGCATCAGGGCACGACATGAAATTCTGCCAGATTGCCAGATGGGGGCCTGGCTACCCAGCCGCCTCCTTAACCCTGAATGCCCTGGTTCTCCAACTGTCCCCACAAAGCAGGACCCGAATTACCAAATGGGCCCCTGGTTTTCCAATCCCTCCCTCCAAACCAGCGCCTGTGTTACCGGACTTGGCCCGTGTTTTCCAACCCTTCCCACCAAACCAGGGCCCGCATTACCCAGGCGAGTGTGGTGGGTGAGGTAGGCAAAGGAGAGGGCGAGGGATATGCTCTTATACTCTGCATCAGGGCACGTCATGAAATTCTGTCGGATTGCCAGATGGGGCCCTGGCTACCAGCCACCTCCTTAACCCTGGATGCCCTGGTTCTCCAACCGTCCCCCCAAAGCAGGGTCCGAATTACCAGATGGGGCCCTTGTTTTCCAACCCCTCCCACCAAACCAGGGCCCGGATTACCAGATGGAGCCCCCCTGGTTTTCAAACCCCTCCCCTCAAACCAGGGCCCGGATTAACAGATGGGCCCTGGTTTTCCAACTCCTTCCCGAGAAACAAATTGTGCCCCAATTGTGCCCCATCAGCGCGCTCCCCAATCACTGGAGTACCAGAACCATTAACGAACTGCTGACCTGGCGGGTCTGACTATTATTGCTGGAATGGTTGCGAGCAACATTGACGGGCAGTGTACTGCCACGTCAGTCTAAGTCAATTTAGGCAGATGAAGGGAATTATGGCATAAATAGAAATGCTCGTATGCATCATACGCTGGACAGCAATTATGACCCAATGGCAGTGTGAAGCATATATATATATGAGTCGGTGAAACTCCGACGACACAGTTTGTCACAGCCCCTCGTTTGTTGTCCTCTTCTCTCTCTCTGCCTACGGTTTACCGGGCAGTTCTATTTGTGACGATATATATATCCTTCCCATTTTGTTATGATTGCTTATCAGCTTGACACTGTTGAAAACCAGTTGTTGTATGACCATAATGGTCCACCTCCTGAAGGTAGTAATTATACTACCTCAGGAGGCTTTACTGTAAATGTCTTACAGCTAGCTTTCCACGGTCGCCACCTTCTTATGCATCATGCGACGCCAGGCGATGGCCTTAATGACCATCCTCATATTTCTGCCTGTATTTTGGACAGACCCGAGCATTATATGGCACTCATTTGTGCAGCTGCCCAGTGGGATGGTGGGACACTGATTCAGGCTAGTTTCAACATAAATAAATTTCTGTGTCCATTACGGAATCATACTTTATTCTGGATTATTGTTCGACTCTCGTGTGACACCTGTCGGGACAGGGACGCGGTGCGTCTTGGCTGCGGAATTCATCACCTATGCCATCAACATTATCAATCTATTGCAGCCGCCGCCTGTGCCGAAGGGTGTCCAACATTTCCTCATTGAACACATCCCTATCACTCAGATATTCATTGTCCCTTTTGTGCTCAAGGACGCTATCAGGACTGCATGATGCCGCACTGTGATGAACGTCCTGCTCTTTTTTGACATGTGGACAACATGTCCTTTGTCAGGACTGTTTTGATGGGATGGTCCGTGCTAGCCGTCCTGCTGAATGCTGTGCTGAAGTAGCTCTCCTTGGGTATCCTTGTGAACATCCACGTCATCCTCAGCGTGCCTGTCCTATCTGCCGGGGTGGGGCCTCCTCTTCTTGACTGGTCAATAGAATCAAGCGATCAAGAGCAACACTAATAGTAGGACAGATAAAAGAAAGAAAGAAAAAAAGTACAATTTTTTGGAGAAAAGAAAAAAGAAGAAAGAAAATAAGAAAAAAAGGAAAAAATACGTTGAACCTTGTAGTGACAGTGGCAATTGGTTTATGTGGCGGACCCACCAGGTGTGGTGCTCCGCCAGGGACAGAGATGGAGATGGAGGATGAAGGAGGAGCGAGATGGCACAGCGCAGCTCCCACACTAAACTCCAACTAACGTACTCCTAGATGTGCGAATGTAGAATGATCTCAAAAATAGACAACAGCTGGGGTATACCCCAGAGGACTGACTGGACTGGACTGGACTGGCTGGTACCGACAGAGGTACCGGCCTGGACTGGACTACCCCGAATACAGCACAGGCCTGTGAGAACAGGCCAAGGGGCTGGTCTCATTGGCCAACCAGAGGTCCGCTACACGATTCTCGACATGTGATGGATCGCCTAGATACAAGCACGCTTCCGCCAAGAAGTGGAACTCTACCTAAGAAAAAGAAAACCCAAGTAGTTTAGGATGCGGAGCAAGCTCGATGCTGAGTCTCGATGCAACCTAGGATAGAAAATGTGACAAAAACAACAATGTCACAGCTAAGAGCCTAAGTGAAAGTAGAAGCAACTAACTAGGATACGTGTCCTAGGAACGCAGAAAGTAATGACAACTAGATCCTAGAATGTTGGAGGCAGTAGCCTCAGTCTGGAAACAATTGACTAGTGTATAAGTCCTAAGAACAGCAGAAGCAGAACAACTAAATCCTAGGAATGTCAGAGGAAGTAGCCTCAGTCTGAGAGCAACAAAGCAACAACAAGACAACCATATGTCACAGGAGGAGTGAGTCGCAAACCACGGGGTGGGATGGTCTCTGAGGGTGGCGAATGCAGCCTAGGGGTCGATAACTCCTAAGGGCATCCACACAAAATGACAGGGAGACACATGTCATCAGGCTCAATGAGAGTAGGGAACTGGGAGCGAACAGAATCAATGACCCGAACAGATAGACCATCAGGGCGGGTAATGCTCGACTAAAGGGGTGACCGCTATGAAGGGTCGACCATGCAAGGGAATAAGGGAGCCTGGTATACTGGGCGCACCTAGATAAAGCACGCGAGGCTGCCTAACTAGGGTGTGAGGGCCGGCAGAGGGTAGAAAAAGTGATGGGTAAGGGAATCATGCAAATGACTCCTAAGGTAGGGGAAGTCGTAACTGGATCCGTAAGCTGGGAAGTCAAGGCAACGCTACGGTCCCGATGCCTATGCGTATACCAAGGGAGAGCCCAACTCAGAGGAACTCGGCGAAGGAAGACCATCATGCGACACAACCAAGGTACTGTACAGGGTAAGGTGGTAAGAGAGTGACGACGTCTGAAGTAGGCAGAGTTGATCGTGTCGAAGTCCACGAAGCTGTCGATGACGTCCATGATGAAAATTCCGGAATGTCGTCGAGGAAGAGCCGCAATGTCGACGAGCTAAAGTGGCAAAACTGGAGTGGATGGAGTACAAAGAAGTCAAAGACGTGGAAAAGTCAGAGTCGATCGTCATATTGAGCAGGACGACGATGAGTGTGCTGTGGACGCTCAGAAGCATCCGACTGCCGCTGAAGGTCTGCCTCAGATGGAGCAGGCTCAACTTCAGCGGTCTCCTCAGCCGGAGGAGAAGGAGGAGGGTCAGTGGGCTGAGGAGCAGTGAACCCAGCACGACGAGCACGGTCATAGGCACGCACCAACATGCGAGCRTGCTGCARGTGCTCGAGGGGCTCCCARGTAGCCTCCTCATCAGGGTAACCCTTCCAACGYACGAGATACTCGACRTGGGGAGGGTTGTCRTCGGTGACTCRGCGACCAATGATGTCTGAAACGAGGAACTCCTCGTGGCCGTCCACCATGATGGGTGGAGGGCGCTCGTATGGTCGTCCAACGAAACGCTCAGACGGTCTGCGGTAGGGACGCAGTAACGAGACGTGGTAGACATCGTGCACACGAGCCTGGCGTAGGTATTCGAGCAGCTTCACACGGAAGCTGACCGGGCTAGAAGCCGTATGAGAATCGACGGTCTGGAGAATGCGGCATGGGCCAAAGAAGCGACACTGAAACTTGCGAAGCGTGTCCGCTTCGAGCTGTAAGTCGCGGGCGTCGATAAGCACATCATCACCGACTTTGAATGAATGATACATCCTCGATCGGTTCGCACGTGCTGCCATGTGAGTCTGGGAAGCGACTATGTGCTCATGCGCGGTCTTCATGATCGACGTCATGTGCGCAACCCAATCATCCAGCGCGGGACAACTCGTGTTGGGGTGCATCTGTGGTGGTCGAAGGAAGTCCGCGGGAACACGAGGGTGATAGTTGAGGTCGCAATAGTAAGGCGACATCCCCGTGGCTGGTGAGACGGCGTGGTTATAGGCTATCTCCGCCTGGGCAAGATGGAGATCCCACTGCTGGTCGTCACAAACAATCTTTCGGAGAATATCTTCGAGAGTCCTGTTCGTGACCTCGGTCTGACCATCAGTTTGAGGATGGTAAGACGAGGAGAAGCGGAGCTGGGTGCCGTAAACCTCGTGCAACCGTCGCCAGAATCGGCTGGTAAAGCGGGGTTTACGGTCAGATATGATGCTCAAAGGTAAGCCGTGGTCACACACGACTCGGTCAAACATGATGTCGGCGACCTCACGTGCACTGATGGCATAGCGGGACGGAACAAAGTGTGCGCGCTTCGTGAAGTGGTCGACGACAACCAGGATAGCATCATGACCGCGGGGGGTCAGAGGACGAAGAGGACTGATAAAGTCCATCGATATGGATTGCCAACGACCCTCAGGGATAGGAAGAGGCTGGAGCAAACCATAAGGCAGGTGGTTCACACTATTCACCTCCTGACAGGTGGGACACTCTGCGATGTAGTCCTTCACAAAGTCCTTGCATTTCGACCAGACGTACAGGCGGCTCACACGAGCCAACGTCTTGTGGAAGCCCATATGACCGGCGGCTGCCTGGTCATGGAACTCTGCTACTGCCCAGACACGTAGTTGTCCAGTGGAGGGAACGCAAATACGGGGCACTTTGGTGCCCTGTGAACCGTGCCAGTACACAAGACCGTTGTCCCCGAGAGAGTAATTCGGGACGGTCTTGCCACTCCGAAGGGTGGCATGGATGACGCGATAATTGAGGCAGTGGCGGTACTGAGTGTGAAACTCGTCGAGCACTGAGTGGTGGACGGTGGTGACTGAGATGGCAACGAGTTGGATCTGCTCCCGATCATGGTCACGACGTCGGGATAAGGCACCTGCGACTCGATTAGTCTCACCCTTGATGTGCTCAGTGGTGAAACTCAACTCGGATAGATCGCGCCACCAGCGAGCCTGTCGAGGAGCGAGCTTCGACTTTGTTAGAAAAGCCTGGACAACAGAGTTGTCTGTGCGCACCGTGAATGGTTCCCCGTGCAGGTAGTGACGCCAGTGCCGAGCGTCATAAACTAATGCGAGAACCTCACGTTCATCAGCGGTGTAGTTTCTTTGGGCGGGCAGGAGCTGACGGGAGTAGAAGGCTATCAGACAATCACTTGAGCGAGTCGGCAGTGCCGTCCTCGACGATGGTAGGAGAATAGTCAATAGAAGGCTCGTCAGTAGCTGGACGAGTAGGCGTCTAGCGAGAAGCAGTGGTAGGGGAAGGGGCCGGGAAGTGAGGGATGAGAGGATGAGAGGAATCAAGAGAGGAGGGGAAAATCTGAGAAAGTATTGCTCCTACAGCAAACTCCGAGGCATCTGTGGTAAGGATGAAAGGGCGATCAAAACCGGGTAGGTGAAGAACCGGTGCACATGTCACCGCCTTCTTGAGGGCGCGGAAGGCGTCCTCGTGGAGGGGTGTTCAAGCCCATGGCGGGTTCTTCCGGAGGAGGGTGGAGGTAAGGACGTAGGAATATCTAGTGTATCCCTGGATGAAATTACTATAGTAGCTAGTGAGGCCTAGGAAGCTGCGAAGCTACTTGGCGGATGTGGGGACGGGCCACTCCGCAATAGCAGTGATCTTCGCTTCGTCCATGTGGAGACCCTGGTCAGACACGTAGTGTCCTAAGAAATCCACTTTGTGCTCGGCAAAGCGACACTTGCTCAGCTTGGCGTAGAAGCCATGTCTGCACCAACGGTCAAGGACGTCGCGGAGGTGTTTGAGATGCTCCTTAAGGGTACGACTGTAGATCAGGATATCGTCGAAGTAGACGAGAACGTACTGCTCCAGGATGTCCCTGTAAATGTTGTTCATCGCCCTCTCGAAGGTAGCGGGTGCGTTGGTGAGGCCGAATGGCATCACCGTAAACTCGTACTGGCCGAAGCGTGATCGGAACACTGTCTTCGGTTGGTCCGCTGCAGCGACGCGGATCTGATGGTAACCGCTACAAAGATCAGTCTTCGTAAAGAAGCGGTTGGCTGTGAGGCGGTCGAACAATTCGCCGAAACGAGGCATGGGGTAGCTGTTCTTAACCGTGTAGCGGTTAAGACCGCGATAGTCGATGCAGAGACGGAGAGTTCCATCCGCTTTGCGAGCAAAGAGGACGGGTGCACCCCATGAGGAGTTGCTGGGTTTAATGAAACCAGTCTCAGGAACTCCTCAAGCTGACGCTTGAATTCGGTGGCCTCAGGGATCGAGAGTCTGTAGGGTGCCTGGTGGTGAACACGATAGTCAGGAACAAGTTGGATGGAATGCTCGACGTCGCGCATCGATGGGATGCCGGCATACGAGAACGACGATGGGAAAACATCGTGGTACTCTCGAATGAGGTCTCGAACTGCGGGGTCCAGGTCGGCCGTATAGCGTGCGAGTTCCTCAACGTCAGCGTCAGCGCGCGACGACGGGGTGGACTCGACGGACGGCGAAGGGAGGGAAGTAGAGATGGGAGCCATGGAGATAGAAGGAGGATTTGGTTCCAGAGAGAGGAGCTCGGCATCGGGACAGGGTGGATCATAGTGCAAAAGATCCGTAACGTTCACCGTAAAGAAGGTGATGTCGTCCTATCGGATGAGGTGAGCAAACTGCCGAGGCGAGGTGACGGTGATGGTAGGAGATGGTATGGGCACGGAAGGCTCTGGGGGAGGAGGGTCGGGGCGTGGTGTCACGGTGGTACCGATGAAAGGTACGCGATACGTCTGTCCACACTTCGTTTTGAGAACGAGAGTGTTGGTTGCCCAATCGGCCTCGGTGCTGCGGAACGGACGAGACCACGGAGTATCGAGAATGAAGTCGTACCCCGTCTCCATCACATCGAAATGTGCAGAGGAGCAGTGGCGACGAGACGTCGGGGGGACGATCAATCAGCTAGAGAGTGAGGAAGAAAGGGAGGTCGGTGACCGTCTGATCGAAGAAGCGCTGAGTCTTGTCATCCCCTAGCGTGACAGAGATGGGAGTCAGAGACCCTATCGTGGGTAAGCGGGCTTCTTTCACCACACGTGGGTGAATGAAGTCGCCCTGAGCACCGGAATCCCACAACACTGAGTACACCCTCGTGGAGGTCCCTAGTCGTACTGGAATGATCGGGAGGGTGCGATCAGGGTCAGAGAGGATGGTGAGAAGGCGACGCAGTGCAGCGACATGGAGGGTGAGTCGCTCCTGACGAGCCTAGAACATGCTCAAGTCCAGAACAGAGGACACAACGTCCTCGCGAGTTGCAAGTTGCTCGCTGCAATGGGCTGAGCGAATGGCTCGACGCGTCGGTAGTCGCGGAGGGGTAGGAGGGGAGACGGTGGTCTGCGGAGGTGAAGACGGTACTGCGACACACTTTGTCGGGTCCTGCGATACCTCGACTCTAATAGCGAGAGGGGGAACCTCGACGGAGATGTTGGGAAGCCTACTACTGAGGAGGGCGCAGGTGTACACTGCACCGTAGCTAGGAGGCGCCGCTGGGATGCGAGGCGCCGGGGGGGGACTGAGCACGACGCTGGCGGGAAAGGTCAGCGTAGTGGCGGTCGAGGGCGACAGTGTAAGGGCATCGCGAGGAGGTATGACCGTGGAGGCGTCGCAAACACCCACACCGGCCCAAAATGGTCGCGCGCTCCTCGGCGGAAAGGACATCGCGAGGAGGGACAAAGCCCTGCGGGAGGTCCTGCTGAGGGACCTTGGGGGGCGATGCGCCAGTGTGACTAAGGCGGCTGCATGCCCGAGAGAGGGTGGAGAGGGCGAGCTGGAGGCGCTCGACTATAGGGAGGGTAAAATCCTCCAGGTGGTAGTGGACGGCCTCGCAGAGGTAGAGGTCGTCGCTATGGTCACCCTCAGGCGGCAGCGGGGCAACAACGTCATGCTCACCATACTCGAGCGCGCTGAAGTGGCGCGAGAAGTGGTGGCCCTGCTGCGCGGAACAGCGGGGGCGGCCGCGGAAAGGAGAACGACATTGGGAAGTGCCGTGAGAGGAGGGGGCGTAGCCTGTACGCCGAGGCTGGGAGGAGGGAGTGGGGTGAAGACGGGCCCGCATTTGCTGATGGGTCCTGGTGGCCTCGTAAGTCTGCGGGGCCGAAGTGACCTCGTACCGCCATAACTCGGAGCGGTACTCAAGAGGAAGGCTGGCCAAGAAACGATCGATGAGGGCAGCCTCAGGGAGGAACGCCACATCACAAATGAGGCGGGCGTCCTGAAAGACATGGATGTGGCGGTCCAGGCCGGCAGCGCCACCAGAGCCGGACGAGCGTGTGCTGACGACACGCTCGAAGGCGTTAGTGACGTCATGTCGGGCTCCGAAGCGATCCTCGAGGAACGCCTGAAAATCCATGAAGGTCGGGGTCCGACCCTCACGAAGGGAGTGCGCGTAGAAGTCCTCCCAGGCGTTGAAAGGACCGCCACGCAGGCGCGTGGAGAGGTGAGCCACCCACGTGTCGGGTGGGGCGCCCATGAGCTGGAGCGTGCGGGTAGCAGACTGCGGCCACCGAGACACGCGTATCCCTGTACCGCCGTACAAGGCAATGTCTGTCAAGCGGACGAGTGGCACGCCACCGTTTTGGCGGCGAGGGGATCGAGGAGCAGAGGTCTGTGCTACGGCTGAGTAAGTCGGCGGAGGTCCTAGAGAAAGGGGCGCAACTGACTGTACGCCCGGGCCGCATGGGGGAGCGGCGGGGGCAACAGCGGCAGGCTGCGAGGGAGCTGCAATAGAAGAGGTCGCAGGAACCGAGGGAATAGGAAGAAGGTAGGATGGGGGTGGATAGGGTGCAGGGCGAGGGAAGCGGGCTTGCATGGAAGGAAGAGTAGAGGAAGAAGGGGGTGCGCCTGAAGGCGCGGCCACCTGTGAGGGTAGGGGTGGCTGAAGGCGTAAGAGGACGAGGTCGTCCCAGATCTGGGCAAGGTCATCCTCGAAACGACGGACATAGATTGAGCGAGGAGTAGGAGGAGGAGGAGTGAGGGAAGTAGACGCACGAGTGGCGCGGGGCATCCTATAGGGGGGGGGGGGGCAGATGGCGTGGCGGTCCCATAGCTGAGACCACGACAGCAGGTTGTGGTCCCGTGGCTGTAGTCACCAGAATCTGGGCGGGTGCACCTATAGAGTGAGGGAGGGTCTGGCCAGTGGCGACCGTCATGGTAGGAGCGTGGACGGTCACCAGGATGGCCGGGTCGGGGGTGGCAGAGGAGGAAGCTCCGCCGTGGCCACCATGTCGGAGGACGGGGGACACGGACTAGGAGCCAAGGGAACAGAAAGAGTTGGGAGAGGAAGGACGGGCAGCGTCCTGAAGTTGCCGCATGCCAGCGGCAAGAGTCGCCATGTGCTCCTGTAGAGGCGCAAGGGTCGCCAGTTGCACCTGGATGGGCGCGAGGAGGGAGGTGAGGAGGGTGTGCAAATCCCCCTAGGGTTGATGGCCCTGGTCCGCCGTCATGGGTATGGAGCCCGGTGCCGAGGTCGTCGCCGCGTCCGCAGCTTGTGACACGCCGTTGGGCATGGGGAGGTGACGTGTCGGACTGGAGGGGGCCAGAGGAGGTCCGCGTGAGCGGACGGCGTAGGGGGGGGTCCGCGGTAGAAAGCGATGGGTGTCGCTAGTGAGTCGAGCGAGGGCGCCCGCAAAGGGGGAAGGATGGTTCGGGTCCAGGGTGCCCGAATGGAAAGGGGGAGTAGCGGGGGGGGTAGGAAAACCCTAAACCCTAGAAAAACCCTAAGAAAACCCTAACCGGGGTTTGAGTGGTTAGGGTAGGGTACCGGTGACCTAATCAAGAAAATAAAATAGC